TGCCTGAAAGAGCATCATGACTGTCCCAGGCACCTGGGCCCTCACAGTCCCCTCTAGCTCCCTGATCCTCCACATTGCCCATAAGCCTTACCCCTACCTGGGGTCCTTTGTCCTTCCTCCGTGCTAAACACTGTAGCCACATGGTAATACTGTCTGCCTATTTTATTACAAAATCAGACAGATATACAGACAGAGAAAGGAGGGATAGAGAGAGAGTCAGCTGGAGGGTGGATCTTCCTTCCCCTGGCTCCTTTCCCCTCCTGTTCATGCCCTAGTTCCTTGCCCCTATTCTTCCTTCAGCTTTTTCGACTTTGTTTCCTTTCTGGCATCCACTTTTCTTGTTCCTTACTGCATATAGTTGCCAATAGCTGATACTCACTGGCAGAACTCTAGAAAGTAAATCATAGGATGCTTTGTAGTGGAAGCTTGGATTCCTTATTTCTTATTGAGATATTATAATGTAAGTGTTAGAATAATCTGGGATAATCTGGATTTTCAGCACATGCACAATCTGCATCAACACCACTATCTAATTTCAGATTTTTACCACTTCAGAAACAAAACAGACGAAACAGTTTTGTAGCATAGAAGGTAAAGCCTCCATCCAAGGGAGACCTAGAGGAGGCTCCTGGTTTCAGTCTGGCTCAGCTCTGGCCACTGGAGTCATCTGGAGAGTGAACCAGCAGATGGAAGATCTCTGTCTCTCTCCTCTCTATAACTCTGCCTCTCAAATCAATAAAATAAATCTTTGAATTAAAAAAGAAATCATGCCATCTGTTAACAGTTTTCCTTACTTGCCTAATTTCCACTGGTTCACTGTCCAAGTGGTTGCAACAGCCGGAGCTGAGCCAATCCAAAACCAGGAATCAGGAGCTTTTTCCAGATTTCCCCTATGGTTGCATGGGGGAAATTTTCTGGAGGAATCTGGAATCTATTTCCCTCACATTTTGCATACAAGCCTGGCAGAAGTCCACATGCACCCTTCCTTAGCTGTTGCAGTCTAAACGATGCGGTCACATTTTCCTCAGCAGCCCCTCTTCCCTTCCTGGGCCGATTCTTCCATGCAGGTAGGAGGGGTTAGAGCCAACAGCTCCTCCCATCACAGCCTGTCTTTTAAAAAGACTACCAGTGGCCAGTGTGGTAGCATAGCACCTCCAGCCATCACTTACAAGGTTGACATCCCACATTAGAGTGCAGGTTCAAGTTCCACCTGACCCACTCGCAATCTAGCTCCTTGCTAAGCCTGGGAAAACATAAGTTGGAATACCTGGGTGGAATCCTGGCTCCTGGCTAGTCTGGCCTAGATTTGGTTGTTGTGAACATTTGAGAAGTGAACCAACGGATGAAAGACTGATCTCTCTTTTTCTCTGTGTTTGTCCCTCTTTGCCTTTCAAATAAATAAATAAATCTAAATAATAGAAAGACTGTCAGTAAGACAACAGGTTCACCAGCTGTGCTGCTGTCAACGACAGAACCTTGGACACCCATCTCCAGCCATCACAACTGGGGTCATCTTAAGGACAAGTCTGGGAATAGTAGCAAAATCACCAGCTCCCACTTCCATGCCACCCTTGTCCTTGCACTCAGGCCCCTTGTGGCAGTCTACATGCAGGAGTGAGCTTATTTTTGTCATATTCCAGGCTTTGCATCACCCCCATGTAGCAGACCTTTTCATGTGAATAAGGCACACTTCCCTTTGAATGCCCAGCTTACCTTCTGCCACCATGGGGCAGAAGGAAGAAAGAGCATGGTGTCATGAATGATGCAACATGCACACCAAGCACTCTGCTGAATGAAAAGAGAAGTTCCCCCACACTTCCCCACGCCAGAAGTTCTGTGACACCAATTCTCAGGATATGCAGGAAGCTAGGTGTGACACCAGGGCAGACCTCTGGTACAGGCATTAAGACACTGTAAGGAAGTGCCAGGTTCAAGTCCCAGCTCCACTCATAATTCCAGTTTCTTGCTAATGTGCATCCTGGGGCTCAGCAAGTGGCAGTCCTGTATCTACAGGGGAGACACAGACTGAGCTTATAGCTCCTGGCTTTGGCCTGGTCCAGCCCTGGCTGTCATAGGCATTTGGGGAGTGAACAGCAGACAGGTTAGCTCCAGTTCTTTCTGTCTCTGTCTTTCAAACAGAAGTCAAAAGGAATCTGTGACTAAACAGATGGCTTCTCTCCTTCCCCCAATACAACTAAGCAGGACCTCTAGTGCGGAATGTCTAGAAGCAAATAACTCAAGACTCTTAAGCAGGATCTGATGCAGGCAGGATCTAGGATGGGGAGTGGCCTGGCCCAGCCCTTTTGCTCATCGTTTCAAGTGTGCCAGCCTCCAGGGCAACTGCCCTTCTGCTTGTCCTCCTTCCAGAAGCTAAACAACTTCCTCCCAACTCATCTCGGAAATTCAAGTTCCCAGGGCCTCACCAAGCCTTCTGTCTACACTGTTTTGCTTCTGACCTCACAGGTTCACCTTGTGCCAAGCGCAAAGCCACGCAGCTCCGGGAAGGCTCAAGAGCAAGCCCTTCCTGTTCAGGTGATCTCCCCTCCCTCCCCACCCTTGGCTTACTCACAGCCCCAGCACCTGCTGAGAAGTGGCTGTCTGAGGTCACCAGGACCAGTTCTGGAACCCTTCATAAGAACTACGCTTAGTATTCCATACAGCCTTCCCTAAGTAGTGAAACCAATAGAAGAAAGTACTTTGAAATAGTGATCTGCAGGAAAGAAGAGAAAGAAAAAGAAAATGGTTGCTACCAGTCTGGCATCACCCAAGCCAAGTTTCTTGGGGGACTCCCCAACTAGACTGCTGGACTCAGGCTCTGGCCACAAGGAAAATCACAGGATGTAGTCCAACCTTGCAGTGCATGTATCAGGACTGGGCCTCCTCAGTTGCTGGTGCCTGTACAGTGGAAAACATGTCCAGATGCACATGGGGGACATGACAGTCAGACAGGCCAGAGGGGGGCGTCAAACACCTAGTGAGCATGGAAAGCAGAAAGGGTTGGACAATTCTGAGCAAGCTTTGCAGCATGTTCCTGGGTCTGTGGATACACTAAGATGGACTCTATGAACTAGCAGATCTTGGAAAGATTTTCTCAACCCTTGGAGCAATAAAATTGACATGTCTCAGAGCCATCAAAAACACTCAAATAACACCCTCGGAACACTCTTTCCCACATCAGGGTCCCTAAGGCATCATCAAATGGTGCCCCCCCATCCCTAGGTGCTGATATACTTGACTGCAGAGAGCAGCCCTCTCCCACTCATTCCTTCCCTGCAACATAGGAAGAAGAAAAAAAAAGCTGAAACATGTGCCCCATCCACCTTTCTCCATAACTGACATGAATCACTCAATTATGTAAGCAATACTAAAAATAAAATTTTAAAAAGAAAAATGATTGTTACTCCTGTGAGTTGGGTTCTCCTGCTTCAGGACTGCTTATTATCGAGGCTCCAGGAGCAGACCAAGTGCCACCTCATCTCCAGGTTGGTACAGCACCAAGGTGGGGCTCCCTAATTACACAGGGTATAATAAAGCCCTCATGTCAAAGACAAGCACAAAGAAATGCCTGGGGTAATAGGAACATGCTACCAGTAAGTCACAACAATGCTGTGTCTCAGAAGAAAGCTCCACCCCCTCTCTTACATCACTGGATTATAGAACTTTATCACCCCAGAGTGCCTGAAAACTTGTATCACCTCCAAGGCACCAACTACCTTAACACACCATGGTTCCCATTGAGCCTCTGAGATAACATAGATAATACTATTTTGGGCGCTGGAAACAAACATTAAATGAAGCAATTTAAAAGCTCTTCAGTCTTCCTCCAGGATTGGTTTATAGTCTAGAACTACTTCTCAATTACATAGTGTCCTTGCCTGGTTGAACTCATTTACAGCATATTTGCAAGTCTGGATCTAACATGATGTCAACTACTCCACTTGCAGGAACTATCCAGGCTATTGCGGCAGAGAAAAAGAGGTCACTACTTCACAGAACCGGCATGTATCCAAATATAGACACAGTGTTCCTAACACCTGTTGACCATCCATGAGGAAGGCACTGTTAACAATTTCCAAACACCGGATCGAAAGTTTGTAAATTATCACTTTAACTGCAACCCAGAAAAACGAGTCTGCTTTCCCAAAGAAACAGCCCAAACCACAGACTGCTTTGGAAGTAGCCCGGCCGGTTAAGGCAGCAGAGGGCTTCCCGGGAAACTACAGCTGGGCCGGTCACTTCTGGAGGAAGCTCTAGAATGGAACCACTGTTCAGGCCTGCGGAGGGCCTGCTTCCCGAGGAGACACGGCGAGTACCACAAATATTTTCAGTTGTCAAGGGTGAGGGAGGAGGGGAGGGCCCACGAAGAAACAGAAACTAACAAACTGTAAGGCGACACCCGCGCGGTTCCCCGGCCGGCGCACAGGTGCGCACGCAGGGCCACGTCCCGTGCACGGGCGAGGCTGGGCCACTGCAAGCCCAGGGCGGCCTCCCGGCCCCCTCCCCAACGCCGAGGTGCGGCTCAGAACCTCGCAGAGGACGTGGCCACCACCCTCCAGGGCTGCCATTCATTCAACCAAGGACTCCACCTCGCGTCCAGCCCCTTCTCCCAGGACACGAAGCTGTCCCCCAGTGCCCCACCCGAAGTTTCACCCCCTCCTTCCCTCTCTCTGATTCTTCCCTCCCCCCGCCCCCCGTCCCCAGGGCAGAGCAGGACGTGGCTAACAGGAGGGACTCGCTCCTTCCCCACAGCAAGGAGTGGGACCCCCAAGAACGCAGGTGAACGGGTTCGAGGACATCCCTCCCCCCAGCCCGTGTGGGCGAGAACCAAGCGGGACTCGGGGATGGGGGAACCACTCGGACACTGGAGGGGGAAGCAGCGTGGCGCGTCGGTCCCCAAGGCGGGTATGAGGAGGGGTCGGCGGCCCTCAGGCGCACACGTGAGGAACGGCCGCGCCTCCGAGGGGCTGGGGGGCGAGGCGGGGAGAGGGCGGCACCTGTACCTGATGAACGTGGTCTTGCCGGTGCTGTACTGGCCCACGAGCAGGATCATGGGCTTGTTCTCGAAGTCGGCGTCCTCCAGCGCCGGCGAGTGGAACTCGTGGAAGCGGTACGCCTCCTCCAGCGGCAGCACCTTGCGCAGGTAGAGCGAGCGCAGGCCGCCCGTCACCGTCTGCACCGCGTCCGCGCCGCCCGTGCGCTCGCGCCCGCCCGCTTGCCGCCCCATCCAGCTGAACATCCTGCCGCGCTCGCTCGCCCGCGCTCCCCGCTCGGACCCTGCTCAGGCTCGACCCTCCCCTGCGCTGGCGCTCCTCAGCTCCGTGCCCCGCTGGTCGCCGCCGCCCGGACCCGCCTCGCGCTGCCGCAGCCAATTCCCAGACGCCACGTCATGGAACCTCGTTCACTATTCAGAAGGGCTCTCTCCGATCCTTCCTTATTGGACCTCTGCGGGCGAGGGGTGGAGGCGTCAACCAATGGGGAGGAGGCTCTTCATGAATTATCGATGACGGCGTGCTTCTAGAAGGCAGGGCGGGGAGCAGTGATCTCCTCGGCAGGGTGCCATAGCCCAGGCGCCCCCGGGCGCCCCCTCTGGCCAGGTGGCAAAGCCGGGCTGACAGGACCGCGCCTCCCGGAACGTGGAGTCTCCAGGTGCACAGACTTGAGAAAAACTTAAGACAACAGGCATTGCTTTTCCTCAGTGGCGGATTATGAATGCCCAAAGAGAGCTGGACTCGCAGACCTAAGTGACAAAATCCCTTCATTCCGTCTCCACTCAGTTCTGTATCAGTGGTCGCCCTTTCCCCTTATGTTTTGATTTTCGGTGCAACTGAAAGTTTAGTCATGTCCTTATGACAATCTTATCCTAATCATCAAGTCGAGTTTCCTGCTATTCCCTGTCTCTGTCTCATTCTCTCTCTCTCTCTCTCTCTCTCTCTCTCTCTCTCTCTCTCTCTCTCTCTCACACACACACACACACACACACACACACACACACACACACACAGAGCGGAGGGGGGAAGGTAGGACTATTGAAAAGAGGTGGGGGCATGGGAGGAGTGCGTGTCGACCTAGCCAGGTGTGGCCAATGCTCCTGGCCATGCTCCACACATGATGAGTACCACTTGTGAGGTGTAGAGTGCTCAGGGCTGGACATCAAAAGATGTGAGCGTGGATCCTGATTAGGTAAATGAATGGTTGTGTGGCTTTAAATGCAATGAATCCTCTCCTCTCCTCAGTTCCCTAACTTGTAAAATGGAACTGCTTGGGAGTTATTGTAAGGATCAGATCTTTAAAGGGAGCTATATGGAACTAGGGAAATGAAAAGAAAGCCAGGGGGGAAATGAAGTTTGATGTCTGATGTTAAAATACAACCAAGACTGAAATGTTAGAGTCAAATGAAAGCAGAAGGCTACTAGAAGAAGCTACAAGTGAAGACTTGAAAAGATTGGGGGCAGGAAAAGTGTCTACTCAACACAAAAGATAGCAGTTATAGAAGCAAAGACCAATGAATTTAACACTGAAAAAGCAAAAACTTTCTCTGTGTGTGTGTGTGTGTGTTTAAGTCAAACAACCCCATATAAATACACTCTTAGATATGGCACAGAGGTCAGTTTCCTGGTGTTTACTGAAATGAACATGGACATCTGTATGTCCACCTACATACAGATATCAGAAGCAGCTTTATGGGTAATGGAAGCAACTAAGTGTCCTCCAGTATGTGAATGGATCAGAACATATCTAGACAACAAGAAATGATTCTGTGAGAAGATAAGATGCAACAAAACCCTAAATGCATATTACTAAAGTGAAAGAGGTCACTTTGGGAAGGCTGTAGGATTTCAACATTGTTTGACTCTGGGATGGCAAAATTATGGAGGCAATGAAAAACAAGATAGCAGTTGCCAAAGGTTTGGCAGGGATGGTGATGATGGCGAGTGATGAGTGGGCAGAGAACAGAGGCTTTTTACAGCAGTGACACAACTATGTATGACAATACAATGATGGACACATGTCATTTCCCAAAACAACAGAATGTGCAGCACCAATGGTGAACCTGAATGCAAACTGTGGACTTTGGGTGACCAGGATGTGTCACTGCAGGGTGAGCTCAATAACTCTAACAAAGATACCACTGGTGTAGGATGCTGGTACTGGGGAAAGCCTGTGTGGAGGGCAGGATGAGGCATGCTATGGGGACTCTGCCTGATGGCCCATTTTTCTGTGAACCTAAGGCTGCTCTGCAGAAAAAGAAAGCATATTTTTTTTAAAGATTTATTTTTATTATTTTTTCATTGGAAAGGCGGATATACAGAGAGGAGAGACAGAGAGGAAGATCTTCCGTCCGATGATTCACTCCCCAAGTGAGCGCAACGGGCCGATACTATGCTGATCCAAAGCCAGGAGCCTCTTCCGGGTCTCCCACACGGGCGCAGGTTCCCAAAGCTTTGGGCCGTCCTCGACTGCTTTCCCAGGCCACAGGCAGGGAGCTGGAAGGGAAGCAGGGCTGCCGGGATTAGAACCGGCGCCCATATGGGATCCCGGGCGTGCAAGGTGAGGACCTTTAACCACTTGCGCCACCGCGCCGGGCCCAAGAAAGCATATTTTTAAAATAGCGTATAAAAAACCCAAAATAAATTGTGAAAAATTATTGCCAGTCTTATATAATAAAGATTTTAAAATATTATGCTTTTACAAAAGTATTAAGAAAGAGATAAATAGTCCATTAGAGAAATGAACAGAGGGCAATAAAAGAAATACATTTGGCTAAAAACACACTAAATAGGGACCAGTGGCTCAATGGGTTAAGCTACATCTGTACTACCCACATCAAATACAGGTGCTGGTTCCCTGCTAATGTACCTGAAAAACATCACAGGATGGCCCAAGTGCTTAGGACTCTGTACCTGACTCCTAGCTTTGTCCTTGTCCAGCCCTGGCCTTTGCAATCATTTGCAAATGGAAGATATCTGTATGTCTCTCCCTCTGATTTTTACTTTCAAACAAACAAATAAAAAAATCTTATGGGGAAAAATAACAGTCACAAAAAAATGTGCTAGGGGTTGGTGTCATTCTACTTCCCATCCAGCACTCTGCTTGTGGCCTGGGAGGGGGGCAGTCGAGGATGATCCAAAGCCTTGGGATCCTGCACCTTGGGAGACCCACAAAAGGCTCCTGGTTCCTGGTTTCAAATAGACTCAGCTCCAGCCATTGTAGTCATTTGGGGAGGAACCAATGGATAGAGGATCTTTCTTTTTTGCCTCTCCTTTTCTCTGTGAATCTTCCTTTCCAATAAAAATTTTAAAATCTTTAAAACAAAAAATAAAAAGTGCAAGTTCTATGTACTGAGAACCACAACGCATTTCTTTGTTTAAAATTATTTATTTGAGAAGCAGAATAAGAGAGAAATAGGGAGTTCCCATCCCCCTAGTCCACTCCCTAAATGCCACATTGGCCCAGAAGCTAGGAACTCAGTCCAGGTCAACCACATGGGAGGCAGGAGCCCAACTACTTGAGCCATCACTTGCTGTCTTCCAGAGTGCCCACTGGCAGGAAGCTGGAATTGAGAGTGGAGTCAGAACTTGAACCCTGCCCTCCAATATGGGGTGTATAACTCACAATTAGTATTTAACTGGGCCTGGCATGATGGCTCCATGGCCAAATCCTCACCTTGCAAGCACTGGGACCCCATATGAGCATCAGTTCGTGTCCTGACTGTTCTACTTCCCACCTAGCTCCCTACTTGTGGCCTGGGAAAGCAGTCAAGGATAGACCAAAACCCTGGGACTCTGCATTCTTGTGGAAGAGCTGGAAGAAGCTCCTGGCTCCTAGCTTCAGGTTGGTTCAACTCTAAACATTGTGGCCACTTGGGGAATAAACCAGCAGATGGAAGATCTTTCTCTCTCTCCTCTTTGTAAATCTATCTTTCCAATGCAGAAAAATAAATCTTAAAAAAGTCTTTAGCAGCCTGTCTAAATATCCAATCCTAGAAGACCTAAATAGATATTATTTATACCATGCCCATGGATCAAAGACTAAATAGTGTGAAGATGTCAACCTTTCTCAAATTGGGATATACATGTTCACAGAAATATGACCTTTGATCTATATTGCTTCTCTGTGCAGAATAAAATAGATTCTAGAAGTAAACATAAAGCTTAAAATTATAAAAAATCTAGGAAACATAGAGCAAAATTTCTATGACCTGAGAATAGAGTCGGTGTGTTTTTAAATATTTATTTATTTATTACTAGAAAGGCAGATTTACAGAGAGGAGAGACAGAGATCTTTCATCTGCTGATTCACTCCCCAAGTGGCTGCAACAGCCAGAGCTGAGCCAATCCAAAGCTGACCCAGAAGCTTGTTTCAAGTCTCCCGCATGGCTGCACGGTCCTTGAATGCCTTTCCCAGGCCGTAAGTAGGGAGCTAGTTGGGAAGTGGAGCAGCCGGGAAATGAATTGACACCCATATGGAATTTCAGCGCATGCAAGAGGAGGACTTTATCCAATAAGTTACTGTGCTGGGCTCTAGGTTGTTTTTTTGTTTGTGTTTGTGTTTTCTTTTTTTTTTTTAAATAATATCAAAAGCATGATCCATAAAAGAAAAAAAATGATGAACTGGAATTTATGGAGCTTAACAATATCTGAACTTTGAAAGTACTGTCAAGAGAATGAAAAGAAAAGGCACAGATTTGGGAAATACAGTTGTAAATCACATTTGAGAAAGCACTTGGTCCAGAATACATATAAAGGCCTTCTAAATTTAAAGTATGAGAAAACAACTCAATTTTAATAAGTGGGAAAAGGACCTGAATAGATGATTCACAAAAGGTGATGTATGGATAGAAAATAAATATGTGAAAAGATATTGAATATCATAAGTTCTTAAGAAAACACAGGTTAAAACAAGAAAAGATGCTGTAACTGCATTCTTTCAGAATGTCTAACATTAAGAGAAGTGACACATTAGCCAGCTTTTTGTTATTATGATTACCTAAGACAAACTACTTAGGAAGGGAGGAGTTATTTTGGCAGCCGGTTTTAGCGATTTCACTGCCGTAATAGGGCAGATCCATTGATCTGGTGTAGGATGAGCGTGGGGGACAGCAGAAGGTGAGCAAAGGAAGAGTAACATGTCAAACAGGAAGCACAAAGACTGGCTTGGTCTGACTCAGTCTCTAGGACCAACCCTTTCACAAGGACTACTTATCCAGGGCAAGACCCCAGGGACCTACGAACCCTTCCCGCTAGTCCTACCTCCAATATACTATTATTGGAATCAAGTCTCCAACTTCCAGTGCCACTA